TCTTAAATGCGTATAAATATGTATTATTTATCTCGACGTTTCGGAGGCAGAGATGGGCAAGCACCCGGGTTTTAACCCAGCGCTTTGTTGACATCTGATATTCTATTAACGCCTGAAATCTTGGGCAAAAACTATTTAAATAAATAAATAAATCACACACGCAATCATAGGAACGCACTAGGAGAACCCTGTGTCGCGGGTGCCATAGACAGACATATATTCTATGTCTGTGTCCATGGCACCCGACTACACCCACACTCAAGAGAGAAATAAATGTAAGTAACACAAATATTTCTCCCGGCCCGGGAATCGAGCCCGGCACATCTGCGCGGCAGACCAGCAATGGCCGAATGGTTACCACATTCGACCAAGGCAGTTTTAATTTACAACTAAATTTTAAAACCAAATTTGCAAATCGAGTTTTATCAAATGTAATGATATAATTACAAAATGTTTATTGATTGCTTACATATATTTTGCATTTCTATTGAATCGATTTGCTTGAAAATTGCATCATCCCTAGTAGTAAGTGAGAATCCACAGGATTTTAATGTGGGTGTCGTGTGTAGTTGCCCCTTTTTCGTCTAAACAAGATTTTATACTTATACTATTCATTAAGTGAACCTAAAACTGCCTACTTATACTTACCACCAAGTGCGACCGTGGTCCTCCCTTCGGACGCAAGCCTATTATAGTAACAAAAAAAATTAAAGACGTCTTTACGCTAATATACAATTAGCGAACAAGCGAAAGGCCCCTATGCCAAAGCAAAACTAAATGTATTATGCAACTAATAGCGACTATGACAGGGGATTTCCGTTAATTCCCCAACTATAGACAGATATCACTGGTAGAGACGTAATGTTATCTGCCAACTACATTGCCTTACAATTATATGGACGTCGGCTCCGCGCTAAAAAGTGTCCGCACTTGTAAGGCGCTAAAATCGTATACAGAGCGCGACACTCCGCTTTAGTCTTCATTTGTTCTACGGACAGCGCGATACTGCGATGACATAACAATTTAAATTTCGAATAGGTTGACTTGGGACATTTTTTTCGTGGTTTTTGTATTAGACCCGTCGTCCATCTATTTGTAAGTCAATGGCCAACTAGGTCATTCTCAACAGATATACTGTCGTGTCTGTCTATGTCAACGATACTCTTTGACTTAATCCGAATAGTTTTATGCACGCTTACTAGATGGCGTTAGCGCGCTTTGGAATATAATTACAGTTCTTGAGTACAGTAGATTGGAGTCTGTAATTTTTAACCGACCGGCTTCAATAATAGATAATAACTCATCATTATTATTTGCTATGAAACTGGTCAAACCAAGAACGAACACAGCCGAGTTTCCAGTCGCTTGAGTTGCGGTAGTATCAAGTCTCAAACTTTTATTAAAAGGTTACACCAATTGTAGCAAAATGTTTGATTGAATTTGGTTTTAAACAAATACAAAATTATCCAAAACAAAAACATACGAATAAAGCAGAAATATCCAATTTAAAAACTTTTAGATTTTGTTATGAATAAACTTTCTAATATCCATGTAACATGAAAACAAAAAGACTATCTATGTTCAAGATAGACAGAACTTTGGAATGGAATTCCTATTTTAACCCCTAATGTAATTTTATGTTTTATCTCTCCAACTAACCACAAACAGGTGTAAAGTAGTTGATATCACTTCATTTATCCTATTTCGTCATTTCCTACGCCGAACTGCGAACTTAACTAACAAGGAGATTCAGTGAATTGTTGTACGGCAAGTTTACAACGCCAAGTAACATTAATATAACAATAATTAACATTTTGTATACAAATATTTTATATACGTAGTAGATTATTCGCATGATGCATATTATATTAAATTCAAAACTTTATTTAGCTTATCGAGTTCTTAGGTTTTCGCGATAGTTACACATAGAAAATGAAACTATCTTTTCGGATCTCAGTCGCGTATATTTGTTTTTTACAAACAAACCAATGTTTCGGGCCTCTTACAGGTCTCACGGTCATGGCTGATTGAGATGGTAAAGTTATCAACCAATATGCAAACCACCCTATTTTTCACTATTGTTACGAAAGTTATCAACTAAATACCTTATTTTTAAATGTATCAAAGATACGTTGCAACTTACGCTACATACCTACTTGTTTGTGTTTTGCAAGAAAGTTATGACAAAATGGCTCCTAGACCTAAACTACAATGAAACAACAGTTGATTGAAGTTGTAGGTTATTACTGTTAGTAAACGTCTCGTCTCGGTCTAAAAATAAAACATTGTTGTAGGCAGTGATAAACGCACACACACGCACACACACACACACACACACACACACACACACACACACTCAAGCAATTGCACTTTTTTGTACTAATATAATTATTTTAGTAACTCAATCTTTATATTAAATTTTGTCTGACCATCATTCATTATTTTGCCTATACTTAAATGTAGAATATTATTGATTTTACAGAGGTTCAGGCACCAGTCTCTGCAAAAATTGTGCTCTATAACATATAATAACTAATGTATGTGTACAGTGTAAACTTTGCAGAGAAAATAAAGATTATTATTATTATTGCAAATTAAATTTACTTTTTCATATAAATTTTTATTAAATTTAATTTTATTATTAATTAACAATCGTAATTAGAATTGATTAAAAACATATTAATGTGTACTGGTTATAACTGGTTGATGACTGCATGCGTGAAATGACTGACATTACAATTTGAATAAGGTTATTTTGATGGATGATGATATACTTTATATAAAGTACCTAATAACATGTACTGCGTTTAGTCATTTGTTTACACTTTTTTCAAATCAAATGCAGTAGAGCTCCTCGTAAAAGAGTTCGTCCAGGGAAATACTGCCACCTTACCTATTTCTGCCGCCAAGCAGTAATATGAGCATTACTGCGTTCCGGTTTTGAAGCGTTGAAAATATTGTAAACCGCTAATGTGCCGTGACCAAGATCACAATTGAATAAAATAGGATCCTTCGGTCCACATAAATTTATTCCACAAGTAAATTCAGAAGAAAAAGGCTGTAACAAGAAAAGGGTATAAAAATACGTACAACTTTACGAAACACTTCCTACGTAAGTACTAAAACCGTGAGACAGACTTACCCCGAAAGGGCCGAGTTATACATTATTACTGGGTTAGATTGGTATTAAAATTGGCACATGCTTTAGGTTGGGAACTGATAAAAGGATCAAAATCAGACGAGCAGCACTGCTCACTACAACGATTGAGCAGAATGTGACGACGGAACGAAACAAAATGAGAATAGGCAAAGGAATTAAAGAACGATTCAAAATTTGAAAACAAGTGGCCAGAAGCCAGAGAAACGGTGATATAAATGTAGAAGGAGGTCACATCGTCGCAGTGTGCTGGTCTTGTCAGGTTTAATTCTCAGGTTGACTGGCGCAGTGGCAGTGTTCTTCAGATCATTGCGATTTAAGGCTCTGGGTGGCACTACAGACAGGCGTGTCGCTTAACACTAGGCGCACGACTTGTTCATCGTGTCGCTTGGTATCATAAAACAAAATAATGAACTCTTCCATAATTTGAAATTTTCCATTAAATACAGCCAGTCCATATACTTTTGTGTTCAATCTATTTAGGAAGCCCATTGATGGAAATCTTGAGAACATCACCTGCATCATTTATTTATACATAGTTACAAACTGTATTCAAAGTTTTCGAATAACTAATAATAATATTTTGGAATCACTATACTGTATAAGGCCTTTCACAAACACGCGTACATATCAAACCATAAACTATAATATCGTACTGTCGTACGATCAAACGTCAAAAGTGCTTTTAGAACATGAAGGTCATAAAAATAATACGAACTGCATTAAATAAATTATCTATATGCAACGACTTCAATCTACACACAACAATATTCACAGAAAGTATAATATATTATAGTGTATATATATTATACTATATACGTGATAGTGTTTTGTTTTTTTGTTGAATTTTGTCAAAGAGTATTAGTACCGTAGTACCGTGGACAGACGTGACAATCTATATCTATTGGGAATGAGCTAGACAGGCAGATAATATTGACTGTTTACCAATGATATTTATTCATAGCTGGGGAATGTTTCATTTCAATTTGCTTTGACCCAAGGGCCTTCCGCTTACTATTTATAATTATTATATTATTAAAAAGGAAAATAAATTAAGTAAAAAAAATATATAGTCGAGTTGTTGAAATTATTGGTGTTAGGTTATGTAATTTTCCTTGCGGAAAGGCAATCTTTTGATCATTCAGCGTAGTACTTTTTATTTTTTAATTTTGTATATTATGGAAACCATAGTAACTACTTTAAACACATTATCCCGACTCTGTTATGTAGTCAGAACACTCTGTTGCTTATTAATCTAAGATATTGGAGTGTTGTGTCTTCACCGCACATCAGTGACATACACAACGAGTATATGGAACGCCGCATCTAGTACGCTAATACATAGATATCGTTGTCTATATGTGAAAATTTTAGCCTAAATTAGTTATCGACCACATTCATTCGTAGATCTTTAAACCTCTCTCTTGAAAAGTTGTGCTATTAAAGATGTGCCCTTATTACGCTAAGGGTGCGACATATCGATTCTCCAAAATATTCAACAAAAAGTTATTAAAGTATGTATGTAAATTGCTTTTGTCGAGTTGATAAACTATTATCTGTGCAGTATACTACAATCTATTGATTAAAAATAATCTTCCCTTTCAAAATAAACACGTTTTGTGGAGAATTCGTTGAAGTTAGGAGTATCACAAAAGAAGAAATAATAATAACTCGACTAAGACGTATGTTTTTAATATTATGCTGAATGTCTTTAGTGGCATTCCAAGGGGTTATGAAAAATATGTGATGACCAGTATAAGAAATCACCCTGTAAACTGGCCCACGTAAAACTGTTGCGTATATATAAGGCGCAGCGACGGCAGAGCCCGCAGATACCTGTGCCGCTCTGCTAGTGCTCACACGGATATATCCTGTGCATATGTGAGTTAAAACTTTTGCTATTTAAAAAAAGAGTTGACATTTCATCAGCAAATGTAAGTACTCTTTGCCGATTTTTTTAATTTCGAAAACTTCAAATATAAAAAAAGAAATTGCGAATTGTATTTGAAAATTTAAATATTTTCGAATTTATTTACATTTTATTTACAAGTAATGAACCGGAAGTGACTTGAAAGTGCATGAAATTACTGAAGCCCTGAAACTGACCGTTTTTAGTCTAATACATTATTGACCAACGGAGTTTCAAGAGATAAAAACTTACGAGTTTAATCTTACAAATTTGTATACCACGAAATAACAAAATGTTATTTGTGAAAATTTTCTTTTAAATTTTTGCTTTAGTATGTTTATATTTATCATTTTATTTTAAAATGATAATGAATAATATCACAAAAAATTGTAATAATATAAGTCATCACGTCGTCGCAAGGATAAAAATAATAAAATCTATATTACCTAATAAGGTAAAATAGATGTGATATTTCACAAAATTGTGAAATACCACATTATGTTATAATTAGGGATTCATTCGTTCCGGGAAACGTCGTCTCGAAAATTTTTCAGCATTTCCGAGACTCGAGACTGATGTTTTCAGTTTCGGGAATATCGAGTCTTTTGAAACTAAAGTCACTTAATTAAAAAGTGTTAAAAAATGTATTAGACCACGGCTTTACATGGATATGGCAACACTGTAGAGTGAAACTTATGGAGATAGAATAACGGTTGTAATAAAATCAGTATCTGTAACGTTAAACGGCCTTTGTTTCTTACGTAACAAGTATAAAAAAAATAACTTACATAAATATTTTTTTATTTTATAATTTGTGGTAATAAAGATATCATGTCTTTTAACTGCTTATAAGTAAGAAAACCTACTTTTGAAGTTATCTCGAAAGTCTCGTTTTTCCCGGGATTTTCCAGACCGCACGGAGTTCAACGTTTTTTCCCGGACGCGGAAATGCAGCGAGATTGAAAGCTGAATAACATAGCTATACTTAAAAAAAAGACAATACTCAGCTACAGGAAAAATATATTTTATATACACTTATGTACAAGCATTTCCGTTCTGAAGGGAAATATTTTGATGTATGTGATATTTGCGTAGCATAATTTAAAATATCTCTTGAATATGGTTTCGTCATCATATACAGCCTGACTTATGGTTTATGGTTTAAGTATCATGAAATACTTGAGACACAAATTCTTTACTTATACCAAATAAATTTGAAAGTTCGTAAGTAAAATATAAGAAATAACGCGGCTACAAATATATATCTTTATAATTAAAACAAACAATAAAATAATTGATTTAGAAAATGAAAATTGGCAATGCGCTAGACGCAAAGGTCACTGTTAATCGCTCATCTCACCATCACCGAGCGTAATTATTGTGTTTAAAAAAAATCCAAAATAATAATAATAATAGCATTCATAGCCCCGCACTAGGGAAACGCTGTATCGCGGGTGCCATGGACACACACATAGACAACTACAAATTACACCCAAAGTCACGAGAAAACTAAATGTAGGCCATACAAAGAGAATCGAACTCGGGACCTCTTACGTGGCAGTCCAGCATGGCAACCACGGAGGCAGACGTTCGGCAACGGAGGCAGTTAATATATAAAAATATAAATTCAGTTATTATCATCAACTTACACGTCCCATTGCTATGCACGGATCTCCTCTTAGGAGGGCTTACAATGCGGGTAGGGACTACATACTTTTTCTGAGGGTCGTGAATAACCTTCTTTGACATGCAGGTTTCATCACGAAGTGTTTCTTTCGGTGAAGAAAAACAAGACTCATGGTGAAATTAAAATTAAATTTTGCGCGTAAATTTTGGAGAAATTCAGAGATGCGAGTCCGGACTCGACCCCACGGCCTCTGGTTGAGAGGCGGTAGGTCAAATCTACCACGACTTTCTGAGTTCAATATAATTTTTATAATAATAAAATTCTTAGGTAATACATTATGACTGCCGCCCACTAACTAGAACGCGGCTAGGTGAGAAAATAATTGTTTGAGATATCATAAAAAATACTATACCATAACCCAGTTTTAGAATATTGAAATTATTTAATGATATTTCAGCTATGCATCGTCAGGGTAAGTTCCGACAAGTCGAACACGTGAACTAATTTTGACTGTTAACCATTGACTTACAATTATATGGACGTCGGGTCCGCGCTAAAAAGTGTCCGAACTTATAGGGCGTTCAAATCGTATACAGAGCGTCATTCACGCTTTAGTCTTCGTTTGTTCGACTGACAGCGAAGTAAACAAAATTAGACAGTACTGCGATGACATTACAATTTAAATTCAACGTTTTAGCTTTTTCATATTCCTTTACATGTCACTACGTGTAAATAGGTTGACTTGGGACATTTTTTTCGTGGTTTTTGTATTAGACCCGTCGTCCATTTATTTGTAAGTCAACTGTTAAATGAAATATTAATTATAACACAAAATAATGAGCTTTGGAAACCAAATTTTTATTATTAAAATATTTGAATGTGAGTTTGTATATATGTTGTAGCGTTTTTTCTTCTAGTGTGCCAATTGATTTTGAATAAAGTGTATTTTACTATCTTAACTCATAGTTCGAAAGGTATTTCATTTTAATAATATTTAAGTTTAAAAGTTTAATTACCCAATTCGAAAAACGTCTAGTATTGTGATCTTGTGCAATGCAGTTCAAACCTGTCCGACTAGATTATTATAGAAAGGCTGAAAAGCTAAACTAACAAATTTAAAATAAAAAAAACAAATCCATTTATCTATTTATGAGACTTGTCGATATAGCTTCCTTCATCCATTTAGGTTTCCTAAAACAAGCACTTATGTATTTGCAAACGAAGCATATGTTGCTTCATTTCAGTTTCAAAATTAATGATGTACTTCTGAAAATCTGTGCCGGAAAATTTACATGAAAATAAAATTTAAATGACTAAATTAAATGACTACAGACAGTCAATAAGCATGCAAATAAGCGAAATCAACAATTTGTTTTTGCGTAGTGGACCTAAGTCATATTCCACTACACTGAGAAAATAAATAAAGTAGTCAAACAATAGTTATCTACGTGAAATTTGTTTATTAATATAACAATACCCAGAATTCTCTGCCTCTGTAATATGTCTATAACCTCTACAATGCATGTACTTGTTCCATAGATACACCAAATACGTTATATAACTTTTGTAACATTAAATAATTGAGGAGAAATCAAATCAATAATTTGATTTTTCTTACTTATTTAATTTCATAGGTAAGCAAACTACACTTGAAATTGTTGTATTGATTAATACTACTAATTTGTAAGGCAGATTGCCCCTCTGATGAATGAGTCAGAAACTTCTTTTTACGATATCAAGTGACAGGACGAACAAGTCGTGCGCCTGATGGTAAGCTTCACGCCTGTCCATGACAGTTGCAGTACCACTCAGAGCTTTAAATCGCAAAGATCTGAGAGGCACTGCCACTGCGCCTGTTTCCCTGATACATAAGTTGACAAGTACCATGTGCCTGTGATTTTACCAGCACCCTATATCCTGCAAAACCGGAACACAGTAATGCTGACGTTACTGCTTGGCGACAGACATAGTTAAGGTGGCAGTACTTCTCTGGTCGAACTCTTTCACAGGGAGCTTTACTGTTATTGTTGTTTTTCTTTAATAGTTAAGCCTGACACGTGTGAGAAGCACCTTCTCACTGCTGGGAACTTAGTAAGTAGCTGGGAAATTATTAAGTAAGTAAATACCATATTTGTGTTAGAACGTGCTCGCCAATCAACAGTTTCTAGTGTTTTGTGAATTGAATACTTTTTGAAAAAATAATGAAATTAAAAAAGAAACAATTTTATTATAAACATTACCATGGATTTTTGTCATCCAAGTACGAAGAAGCTGTATATTAATAACCTTTAGTAAAAAAAAATTGTTCGGCTTTAGTCCTAAACATTGTAAATTACAAGTTTTTAATATCAAATCTTATTATGGAGATATATACACTGTCCGTCAAATGAATTTGTGACTATGTGAAAACGACTATCAAGAAAAGCTAGTTTATTTTTAATTCTGATATTATTGTTAGGTCTATCACAATTTTTCTTGTTAAGATAAGTAACATTTTTATAAATATTTATGCCTGTTCATAACAGTTTGCAAATTAAATCGCAAAGATCTGAATGACACTGCCATTGTGCCCGTCACCCTGAGACGTAAGTTAACAAGTCCCATGAGCCTGTAATTTCACCAGTGCCCTTAACCTTCAAAACCGGAACTCAGAAATGCTGACATTACTGCTTGGCGGCAGATATACGTAAGGCAGTACTTCCCTGGACGAACTCTTTCACCAAGAGCTCTAGTGCTACTTATACTAAATATACTTATGACGCTACTGTCAGAGTGTTAATTTGTTTGAACTTATCCTCCAGAGAAACTCTGGACATGCTTTATAAAATACAGAAAGTACAATTTTACTCATCAATTACATAGTGTATTTGAATAATAAGGAAAATAAATTAATAACAAATATTAAATTGTGTTTAAGTAAACATTTATTAAAGATGCGAGGAGCTATCTATTTGCCACCGCGTCGTGCGTTTGATAATACATGCAGAGAAACACCAGCAGTTCATTTCTAAACTTGAGCCATCTATTTTACAATATCAAGCAACAGGATGACTAAGTCGTAAATATGGCAGTAAGCGAGCAGCCTAACCATAAAAGTTGCAGTGCCACTCAGAGTTTTATCCGCTCACGCGATTCATGCGTCTCTGGAAGCATACCACACCTAGAGGTGCCGGTGATGATTTTATACCGATTTATCGGATATCGAAGTTATAATAGGTAAAAAAACTAGTACTAATTGCTATTTCGGTAACTACTCCAGCAAACCATAAAGTTTTTAATGCCTGGGTCCGTCTTTTAAAAAAATGAACAACTTCAAAAATTTCGTCACGACAATCGTGTGTGTTA